CGAAACAAAAGCCAGCCGGAAACGAGTGTCCGGCGGAAAAACGAGTGTCCAGCCGAAACAAAAGCCAGCCGGAAAAAACGAGTGTCCAGCCGAAAAAAAAAGCCAGCCGGAAAAAACGAGTGTCCAGCGCCAGCCGAAAATCGAGTGTCCGGCCCCGAACAAAAGCCAGCCGGAAAAACGTGTGTCCGAAACTAAAGCCAGCCGGAAAAACGAAGTGTCCGCCGAAACAAAAGCCAGCCGAAAAACGAGTGAAAAAAAAGCCAGCCGGAAAAAACGAGTGTCCAGCCGAAACAAAAGCGCCGAGAGCCGGAAAAAAAACAAAGCCAGCCGAAAAACGAGTGTCCAGCCGAAACAAAAGCCAGCCGGAAAAAAAACGAGTGTCCAGCCGAAAAAAACGAGTGTCCGGCCGAAACAGAAGCCAGCCGGGAAACGAGTGTCCGGCCGAAACAAAGCCAGCCCGGAAAAACGAGTGTCCAGCCGCGAAAAAACGAGTGTCCGCCGAAACGAAAAGCCAGCCGGAAACGAGTTGTCCAGCCGAAAACGAGTGTCCGGCCCGAAACAAAAAGCCAACCAAAAAAACGAGTGTCCAGCCGAAACAAAAAAAAACGAGTGTCCCCGAAACAGAACCGGCCGAAAAAAACGAGTGTCCAGCCGAAACAAAAGCCAGCCGGAAAAACGAGTGTCCAGCCGAAACAAAAGCCAGCCGGAAAAACGAGTGTCCAGCCGAAAAGTGTCCGGCCGAAACAAAAGCCAGCCGGAAACGAAAAAACGAGTGTCCGGCCGAAACAAAAGCCAGCCGAAAACGAGTGTCCGGCCGAAACAAAAGCCAGCCGGGAAAAACGAGAGTGTCCGCCGAAACAAAAGCCAGCCGGAAAAACGAGAAAAACGAGTGTCCGGCCGAAACAAAAGCCAGCCGAAAAAACGAGTGTCGGGCCAAACAAAAGCCAGCCGGAAACGAGTGTCCAGCCAGAAAAACGAGTTCCGGCCGAAAACAAAAGCCAGCCGAAACGGTGTCCGGGCCGAAACAAAAAGCCAGCGGAAAAACGAGTGTCCGGCCGAAAAAAAAAGCCAGCCGGAAAACGAGTGTCCAGCCGAAAAAAACGAGTGTCCGGCCGAACAAAAGGCCAGCGGAAAAAACGAGTGTCCAGCCGGAAAAACGAGTGTCCGGCCGAAACAAAAGCCAGCCGGAAAAACGAGTGTCCGGCCGAAACAAAAGCCAGCCGGAAAACGAGTGTTCCAGCCGAAACAAAAGCCAGCCGGAAAAAAGAGTGTCCGGCCGAAACAAAGCCAGCCGGAAAAAACGAGTGTCCGGCGAAAAAAAAAAACGCCAGCCGGAAAAACGACCGGCCGTGTCCAGCCGGAAAAGTGTCCGGCCGAAACAAAAGCCAGCCGGAAAACGAGTGTCCAGAAAAACGAGTGTCCGGCCGAAACAAAAGCCAGCCGGAAAAACGAGTGTCCGGCCGAAACAAAAGCCAGCCGGAAAAACGAGTGTCCGGCCGAAAACAAAAGCCAGCCGGAAAAACGAGTGTCCAGCCGGAAAAAAAAACGAGTGTCCGGCCGAAACAAAAGCCAGCCGGAAAAACGAGTGTCCGCCGGAAAACGAGAAAACAAAAGCCGAGCCCCGCCCGGCCCTCGAAGGCAGCCGAACAAACGTCTCAAGAAATCTGCGAACAGGGAGCCCCGCCTCGACTCCCACCTCAAGACGTCTCACCGGTTCCGAGAGCGGGAGAATCAACACTTCTCTCTGCCTCTTCCCGTTCGTTATTTGTCTTCCTCTTCCTTCCTTTTCTTTTTCCTCCTTCGTTATTCCGTTTGGTGACTATTTGCTTTGGGGTTGGGCGTTTGTAGCTCTTGAACGGTTCTGTTCATTTTGTTATCTTAATTTTACTGTTCTATTTTTTTTTCTAAATTTTACTATCATTTCCATATTTGTCATTTAATTCACTTAGACTACAACTACTGGTACGATTATTGTCACCATTGCAAAATATCAATTATCATTATCACTGTCATTACTATCATTATGATTATTGTCATTATCATCCCTATAACAATAATAGTGATAATGGTAATATTAGTGATAACAATGGGGACAATAGTAAAAATAATGATGATATAATAATAAAAATGAAATAATGATAATTAATAATAATAATAATAATAATAAATAATAATATAACATAATGACTAATAAAAACATAACACAATATAATAATGATTGATTATAACTATATTGTAATGATAATTAATATAAAGATGATAATTATGAATAAATTAAAAAAAAATATAATAATGATAATATAATAATAATAACTTTTTAATCATTGTTATTACTATAATTATCAGTATTACTATTACAATATCATTATGATAATTATCATTATTATCATTAGTGTTATTATCAACAACAATAACAAAAATAGTAACAAAAATAGCAATAATGATAATGATGATGATGCTGATAATAATGACAATGATAACAATGACAATTGCAATAATGATCATAATAATAATAATAATATAATAATATAATAATAATAATACAATAACAGTAATCAATTATCAATTATTATTAGTGCATTATTATCAACAACAATAACAATACTAACAAAAATAGCATATGATAATGAGATATGCATAATAATACATAATGACAAATAATGACACAATAATAATAATAATAATAGTAATATTATATAATAATAATTCTTTCAGTCAATAACAATGAATATTATCTAATGATTATTTACTTAATTTAAATTTTTTTTCACATTTCCGTTATCCTTTTCTGCAACACAATTTCTCCCATTATCTCATTTTCCTCTCCATTCGTTGTTTTTCTCTTGCCTTCCTCTACCATCTTCACAGCCTCTCCCTCTCTCTCGTGCTTTATCTTCCTCTTCTCTTTCTCCAATATCTCATTTCACATTTTCCTCCTCACATTCGCTATTTCCTTTATCCTTTTCCCCCATCATCATCCCTATTTCTCTTTATCTTCCCTTTTCTATTAACATTTCCCACTCCTCAGCCTCTCCCTGTCCTCGTCGTCACTATTATTGTCGTCATCATTTACGTCGTCATCGTCATCCTCCTTCTCCTTATCCTCCTCTTTACCTTCTTTTTTTCTCCTTCTCCTCCTCTCCTCCTCCTCCTTCCTCCTCCTCTTCTTCCTCCTCGTCTTAATCATCACCTTCATCCTCTTTCTCGCTGTCTTCATTGTTATCGTCGTCATCGAAGTCGTCACCGTCGCTCCCGCCGTCGTCGTTGTCTTCTTCTTCTTCCTTCCTCCTCCTCTTCTCTCTTCTTCTTCTTCTTTCTTTCCTCATACTCTTCATCCTCGTCCTCCTCTTCCTCTTCCTATTCTTCTTCTTCCTTCCTCCACCACCTTCTCAACGTCCTCTTCCTCCTCCTCCTCCACCTCTTCCACCTCTCCTCCACCTCCTCCACCCTCCTCCACCTCCTCCTCACCTCCTCCACCTCCTCCTCCTCCTCCTCCAGACGACATCTGCCGAGATGGCTAATATATTAACGCGTCCGAGCTGCAGGGATAGATTCCACGGCAAATATGAAGTCGGACTCGAACAAATGAGCGCCATATATCAGGCTCCCGGAGATAAGATCAGCCTCCGAAGACGGTGTTAGATAAGGGAATTGCAACTTGCAGCATTGCTCCCTATTGATAATGACACTGATCCCCCCACCCCCACCTCCTCCATGACGGAGGCGGCACTTGTGACACTAAGGCGTTGGGGTAAGTGGTAGCAAAAGGGGGGGGGGTGGGCGGGGAGAGGGGTGGGAGGGGGTGTCGTAATCCGCTCGATCTAAATGGGTGGCCGTAAGTCAAATTTAAAAGAAAAAAAAAGAGATGGGGAATAAAAAGAGAAGGGGGGGGGGATGAGAGCAGAAGAGGGAAGGGGAAGGGGAGGGGAGACGAAAAGGTGGGAGTCATAATGGAACGAGTATGGACAAATATCCCCCTCCCCCCCCCCCTCCTCAATATGACTTATCGAAATCCGTGTCGCCGCGTCTAATCAAACACCATCGCGGTTCTTGAGATGAGGAGCTGATAAGACCTTTGTTCTTCTTCTTCTTCTTGGCGCGGGGGGGGGGGGAGTACCAGCGGGGGTGTGGGGGTGGAGTGGGGGTGGGGGGGGTACCAGCGGCTCCCGAAGGCCAGCTGATTTACCCCCTTTTGCAGCGCGAGGAGTCGGATGAGAGCTGGATTAGAATCGAGATCGAAGCATGATTGAACGTCTTGGTGTTTCTTGGCGGATAGGAATGCGATCCATCTCATTCCATTTTTTTCGATCGTCGTTTTCCTCTTCGATGCTATTACCAAGTCATCGTCGTTGTCGTCATCGTCATCGTTGTTATTGTCGTCATCATCGTCATCGTTGTTATCGTCATCGTCGTCATCCTTTTCCTTGTCCTTGTATTGCTCATCACTGTCCTCTTTAGCCGCCGCCGCCGCCACCGTCGTCGTCGTCGTCGACCCAACCCACGTCCACCCATTCGTTATTTTGGATTTCATCAATGCAATCCGACAGAACGAATCGAACAAAAACAATCTCATTCCTTATTTGATAAAAATAGTAAAAAAATAAATAAATAAATAAAATAAAACACTTCATCACAAAAAAAAAAAAAAAAAACAAATCAACCAATCGCAGAGGAATTGAGGGCGTGGGGGGGGGGGGCGGACATAGAATTCACCGCCTTGCCACGAAGGGGAAATGACCTCACACGAATCCGACCCATCTAAGAGTCACATCGGGGATACAGGACTAGCGCACTTAGTTACGCTAGGGAGAAATATTGTACTACTTGGCAATTGGCGGAGGGAGAGCGAGTGAGAGAAAGATGGAGGGAGGGGAGAGGGAAGGAGGGAGGATAGAGAGGGAGGGAAGGGAGGGAAGGGAAGGGAGGGAAGGAGGAGAGGGAGGGAAGAGAGGGAGGGAGGGAAAGGAGGAGAGGGAGAAGGAGGAGAGGGAGGGGAGGAGAGGAGGGAGGAGGAGAGGGAGGGAGGAGGGAGGGAGGGAGAGAGGGAGAGAGGAGAGAGAGAGAGAGAGAGAGAGAGAGAGAGAGAGAGAGAGAGAGAGAGAGAGAGAGAAGATAAGAGAGAGAGAGAGAGAGAGAGAGAGAGTGAGAGAGAGAGAGAGGGGGGGGGGGGAGTGAGAGACATAGACAGAGAAACAAGAAAGAGAAGAACTGAGGGTCATGCGAAGGAAAGAAAACGATACAGATAGAGAGAGAGAGAGAGGGGGGGGGGAGAAGGATGGAGAGAGTGTGAGAGACAGAGAAACACAGAGAGAGAAATCATGCGAAGGAAAGAGAACGATACAGATAGAGAGAGAGAGAGAGAGAGAGAGAGAGAGAGAGAGGAGAGAGAGAGAGAGAGAGAGAGAGAGAGAGAGAGAGAGAGAGAGAGAGAGAGAGATCATAAAAGTACCACAATAGCACACGACATGAAATGGAGATTTACATCCACTTCATTATTACGGTAATACACGCAGACACCCCTCCCCCCTCCCCCCCCCTCCCCCTCAAGCGTAGCATCCGCATCCTCTCCTCAAGTAGCCAAAGGAGAAAGGGGGGAGGGGGGGGGGGGACGCTGGGGGGTCAGAATGAGGGGCACGTGTCCTTTTTGGCTACGGGAAGGGGGGGGAGGGGTAGGGAGGTGGGGAGGGGGGGGGGCATCGTTCAACCCTGCCACGGGGCTTACTTGCTGTCCTGATAACTCGCTACCTCTATTTTCTCTCTTTTTTTTTTCCTTTTTTTTTGAGGATGATAGTACTTTGCATCCTCCGTCTTTCTCTCTCCATCATTCCCCTTCTATCTCTCCCCTTTTTTTGTTATTCATATCGTGAAATTAGCATTTTTTTTCTCTCTCTCTCCTTATTCTTATCGTGAAATTAGGATGTTTTTTTTTTCTCTCTCTCTCCCTTTCTCCCACCATCATCACCCTCTTGCTCAACCTTAGCACAGATGTCGCCTTTTTCCCTTTTTTCTGAGACTCGTGCTCACACTATCCACCTGCTCGCTTCCTCCCTTCCCCCTCCCCCCTTTCCCTACCTTTCTTCTTTTTCTTCCTCTCTCTCTCTCTCTCTCTCTCTCTCTCTCTCTCTCTCTCTCTCTCTCTCCTCTCTCTCTCTCTCTCTCTCTCTCTCTCTCTCTCTCTCTCTCCCAATTTCCTTCCTCCTTCCTATCCCTTTCCAACCCCCTTCTCTCTGCCTCTCACCTACCCATCCCTCTCTTCCTCTCTCCTAACCCTCCCTCTCTTCCTCTCTTTCCCCTTCCCTCTCTCCTCTCTGCTACCCTTCCTTCTCCTCTCTTCTTCTCTTCCTCTCTCACCCCTCCCTCTCTCTTCCTCTCTCCTACCCTCCCTCCTCTCTTCCTCTCTTTCCCCTTCCCCTCTCTTCCACTCTCCTACCCCTCCGTCCTCTTATCCTCTCCTACCCCTCCCCATCCCCTCCCCCCTGCCCCCTTCCTCCTCCCCCTCCCTCGCTCTACAGATGTCGCCCACCACGAGGATAACCCGAACAAGGATCACCCTAATAGCTCATAAATTATAGAGAGAGAGATGTGTGAGGAAGAGAGGAGGAAGGAGGAAGAGGAAAGAAGGAGGAGGGAGAAGACGGGAGAAGTAGAGAGGGGGAGAAGATTAGAGAGGAAAGAAAATAAGAAACCAGCAGGTGGAGGGGGCGACGGGAGAGGAGGAGAGGGGAGGCGAAAACAGGAGGACAGGAGGAGAGCGGGAGAGGGAGAGAATGGGTAGAGAGGGGGGGTGTAAGAGGTCAAAAGGTACAGCAGGTGAGAGGAAGGGAGGATAAAAGAAGGGGGAAAGTAGGATGTAACCGGAGTGGCAAAGATTGCAAGGGGGGGGGAGAGAGAGAGAGAGAGAGAGAGAGAGAGAGAGAGAGAGAGAGAGAGAGAGAGAGAGAGAGAGAGAGAGAGAGAGAGAGAGAGAGAGAGAGAGAGAGAGAGAGAGAGAGAGAGTGGGGGGGGGAGTAGGGAGCTGTATGAAAAAAAAGATATGTTGGAAGAGTAAGGTAGACTAAAATACACTCAGACACACGAGTGTGTGTGTGTGTGTAATACATATGTGTATATATATATATATATATATATATATTATATATATATATATATATATATATCATAATCATATATCATATATATATAATATATAATAATAATATATATTATTACACACACACACACACACACACACACACACACACACAACACACACACACAACACACACACACACACACATATATATATATACATATGTGTGTGTGTGTGTGTTCACACATATACCATATCCATATAGAATAGACAAAAACAAACGTAATTGTTACTAAAAAAAAAATCCAAAAGAGAACCCAACAGAAAAAAAACAGAAGACAAAAGAGAACGAGATAACCCGGATAAAAAATACGAGCCGCGTTGCCGAGCGAGAAGCAAATGGACGCGATAATTGCCATAATGAACAAGCAATCGCATAAATCAGCATCAGCCACACTGTTATCATGTCCAGATTGTTCTTTGATTGTTACCACAGATGGCATGCCCGGTATCCAGCTATCGCGTTTCTTTTAATGCTCTTGTCTTACAATTAATGGAAGTGCACTGCTGTTGCGAGCCATGTAAACGATTAGCAAAAGCTTTATTCTATTTTGCATCGCCGGATTAAAAAAAAAAAAAAAAAAAAGGAAGACATTTATGCAAGATTCAATTACACGATCGCCAATAATTCGGTCGCGAAACGTGGCGTGCCGAGTCCGTAGAGTGAGGAGCCGTCTTGAGGCAGACCGCAATTATGGTGAGATGATCGTGCGATTCTGCGACAAATAGCCAATCGGGGAGTCTTCGGTTATCGGGATGATTTTAATTATCTTCGTAGTTATCGTATGGTTATCATTACGATACGGCTTGATGTTCATACCACCCTTAATTCCGCTGGATACTGATAGCGCCATTGTTATCAAGTTCTTTATCATTAATGTATCAGAGAGAAAGAGGGAGGGAGGGGGAGTGAGAGATAAAGAGAGATAAAGAGGAGAGAGAGAGACTGTCCTATCCTCCCTCTCATCCCTATTCCTCCCTCCCTCCTCCTCCTTCCTCTGCTCCCTGTCCTACCCCCTCTCCCACCCCTCCCTCCTCCCTCCCTCCTTCTCCTCCTCTCCTTCCCTCCTCTCATGCTCCTCCCTCCCTCTCCTTCCTCTCCTTCCATCCTCTCTCCTATCTCCTCCCTCCCTGTTCTATCCCCCTCTCATCCCCTATTCCTCCCTCCCACCCTCTCCCCTTCTCCTCCTATCCTGCCGTCCCTATCACCCCCTACCCCTCTCTCTCACCCTACTACCCCCTTCTCTCATCCCTATCCCTCCCCCCACCTTCCACCCCATCCACCCCAAATTCCTCCCCCCTCCCATCCCCTCTCCCCCCTCCTCCCCCCCATCACCCTCCCTCTCCACCTTCCCCCCCCCACCCCTCCCTTTCTCCTTTCCCCCACCTTCCCACTACATCCCTCATCCTCGTCCCCCACCCTCCCCATCCTCCCTCTCCCCCACACCCCCTCTCCCTACCCCCACCCCCTCTCTATTCCTCCTCCCATGTCCCTCCCATCCCTCCTCCTATCCCTCCCACTCATCCTCCCTCTCCCACCCCCACCTCCTCTCCTATCCCCCCCCAAACCATCCCACCCTCCCTCTTCCTATCCCACCACCTTCCCCCCATCCCTCGTCCCCATATCCCCTACTCCTCCTCCCCCCATCTCCCCCATCCCACCCCACCCCCCTTCCTCTCCACCCCCTCCCACCCTCCCTCTTCTACCCTCCCATCCCTCCCACCCCCACCCTATCCCTCCCATCCCTCCATCCCCCTCTACGACAGACGCTGTGAAGTGACTTGTCGCGCCAGATAATTAATCAGGCCAGACCAACCCAATATTAGAGGAACGACCCCTGGTATCTCTGCAAATGCAAGTCATGGCTTCTCAGAACGAGGGGGCAAGGGAGGGAAAGGAAGAGAGAGGCGAAGGGAGAAAAGAGAGATGGGGGAGAGAAAGAGAGGGGAAGATAGGGAGAGGGAAGATAAAGACAAAAGAGAGAGAGGAAGAGAAAGACAAGTAGAGAGAAGAGAGAGATGCGAAGGGAGAGAAAGAGAGGTAGGAAGAGAAAGAAAGAGAGGGGAAGTTGGGAGAAGGAGGGAGTGGGAGGGAGACAGAAGGGAGAGGAGAAGAGGGGAGAAGGAAAGGGTGGGAGACATAAGAGGGGAAGAGAAGAGGGAGAAGGAGATGAAGAGATGAAAAGAGAAGGGAAAAAGGAGAGAGGATGAAAAAGAGAAAGGAGGAGAGATAGAAAGGGTGACAGAAGGAGAGAAAGATGAGAGGAGAGAGGAAGGTAGGGAGATGGGAAGAGGCAGGGAAGGAGGAAGAAGGGAAAAGACTGATGAGAGAGAGAGAGAGAGAGAGAGAGAGAGAGAGAGAGAGAGAGAGAGAGAGAGAGAGAGAGAGAAGAGGAGAGAGAGAGAGAGAGAGAGAGAGAGAGGGGGGGGGGATAATGTGGATGGCCGCAACAGGATGCAAGTGTGTGTGTGTGTGTGTGCGCTGGACATATACATACATACATACATACGTATGTGTGTGTGTGTGTGTGTGTATATATATATATATAATATATATATATATATATTATATTATAATATATATATATATATATACATCCTACTATAAATGCGCTTATGCGTACATACATATATGAATTTGTATAGGCATATCTGCTGACTAAATGTATGCATGTATGTATGCATGTATGCTTATATGTATGTATGTATGTGTGCATGTATGCATGTATGTATGTATGTTTGTATGCATGTATATATGTATGTATGTATGTATGTATGTATGTATGTATGTATGTATGTATGAATGTAAGTATGCATGTATGTATGCAAGTATGTATGTATGTATGTGGGTATGTATATATGTGAAAATAGTTCATTATGGAGCATAAATGTATGTATATATGCATGTATGGACGCATGAATGGATGGATGCTTGTGTGCATGTTCTTAGGTATGTATGCATGTATATGAATATAATTGATCTTATATGTAGTTACGAAGACATTTTCCTTCGTGAGTCACAACAGAAGGTAGAAGAAAAATAAAGTAATAAAAAAAATCATAACTTGAGAGAGAAGTGTGGGTGGGGAACAGTTTAGTTGAAGGGGAAAAGTGGCAGGGGGGAAGGGGGAGGAGGGGGAGAGAGGGGGGGGAAGCGGGGTCACAAACACAACCGTACCCAAGTATCCCCGGAGGTAGCGGAGGCTCGTGCTACACGCCGCTCCACACATGTCACCCTGCTCCCCTCCCCCCCCTCCCCCTTTTCCCTTCTCGACTACCCTGTCCCTCTGCTCCCCACCACCCCCTTCCTTACTAAGCAACCCTGTCCCACCAAGAAAACTAACTTTCCCTTGGTACTTGACTACCCTGTCCCCCCCCCCTTCTCCTTCACAACCTGCCCCAACCCTGTCCCCACTACCCTCTCCCTCTCCCCACCCCCTTCCCCTCCTCTGCAACTCTGTCCCCCTGCCAACATCGCCATCGCTTGCACCACAGGGAACCAGAGTAGAAGCGAAGGCTATGCAACCGGCCCACCCTGCCACCCCGGCCCCCCTGCACCCCGCCACCCCCGGGGCCCCGCCACCCCACTCCGCCACGATATCCAACCTCCCATTAGCGTCCGTCACCGAGTCGACTTTCCTTATACACGTGATTATATGTGTATGCGAAAAAAAAATGCATATATGTATGTGTATGCATACTGTGTGAACATATTTATGTACCGCACACACACACACACACACACACACACACACACACACATATATATATATATATATACATATATATATAATACATAATACATATACATACATACATACATACACATACACACACACACACACACTCAGATATATATTATATATATATATATATATATATATATATATATATATATATATGCATATGATGTGTGTGTACATACATATATATGCTCATATATTCATTTTTTTGCACATGTGTGCATTTGTATGTGTATCTATTTCTATATGTATGTATGTATGTATGTATGTATGTATGTATGTATGTATGTGTGTGTGTGTGTGTGTGTGTGTGTGTGTGTGTGTGTGTGTGTGTGTGTGTGTGTGTGAATGAATGAATGCATGTATGTTAATATGTATGCATCTATGTATATATGTATGTATGTATGTATGTATGTATGCATGTATGTATTACACACACACACACACATGTGTGTGTGTGTGTGTGTGTGTGTGTGTGTGTGTGTGTGTGTGTGTGTGTGTGTGTGTGTGTGTGTGTGTGTGAAGAGAGAGAGAGAGAATTTTTAAGATTTAAGATCCGTAAGTTTATTTACCAGGAAACTCATATACAAATGTTCGGATTACATGGTTAATGGTAAGGCAGTCAGCTGACCAAAGCTCCCTAGCAGGCGCGATCCTACATATCAAGTGCAAAATCACAATGATTAAATACACACATAATTCAGACTACAGAGTTAGTCACAAAATATATAAAGAACATAAACTTAACTTAAAAGAAAAATGCGTTTAAGATCAATAACGACAAATGCATTTTAAAACTATTGAATGGACATAGATCATAAGGAAGATCTAATACATTATACATAAGAAAATATTTACTATTAAGGATGGAGAACTTTGGAAAAAGTAAAATCATATGTCTAAAAAATGCATAACTAGTCTGAGTGAACATAGAATTAGACATAAAACATATATTAAACAAAAAGAACAATGGGCCTATGCCAAAGATATAGAAGTGAAAGTAAGGTACGTATGGCATTTATAAAAAAAACAAACATTGCTAGGAAGGTAAACATAAAATTGATAGATAAAGATACATATCCATAGAAGAAACTTCTCAGGAAATC